TAAGAGCATGTACAATGGACAAGCAATAACCCTCCGATATGTTCCAAGTCTTTAGGAACGTGAATTTGAGAATGAAAAGAGATTAGAAAAAGAGGATAATAAGAAGATTCAAGAGGATAATCTTTTCTGTCCCCTTCCTTCCTTACATATTTCTCTATTTATAATACAAAATTATAAGCAACTAACTCCATTCCCTAGAATTGAGCACTTACGTGGGAATAAGCCTCACTCCACTTCTGCCAGGTGGGTGAGCCCTATTTTTATGCATGACTAAGTCTACTAATTTATTCACTAATTAATTTACTAATTAATCTAGCTAATACTTATATTAAATTCTGCACGTATCATTCCCACCCGCTTCGAATATCCTTGTCCTCAAGGATAAAATCTTGATGTATGTATGGGATTGTTTTGAGTGTTTGGAGGGTCGGTTGACTGGAAGTCTTCCACGTGCACATCCTCGATCATATAGAATAGTGGTCGTTGGCAACGATGACCTGGTTTGAATTTTTCGTCACAATAGTAGCACAAGCCTTTTTGTCTTCGTTCACGGGCTTCTTGGCCAGTTATTTTTGTAAATGTCGGTGGCAAAATATTCGGATTATTAGTAGTTGGTGCAGCGCTTGAAATGGTGGGTGGAGGGCCTAGAATACCGGACGTGGAAGTAGTTGTGCCTCTCAAGTTTGTTGGTGTAGTTTGAGAGTAGAAGGGTTGTGGATTTTGTTGTAGCATGTTTCTTTCCTCTACAAGTCGTGCCACGCCTATAGCATCTATTAGAGAATTAGGCTGTTTAATTTTCACATCCAGACGAATCTCATCGGAAAGACCTGCAATAAAACAACCGATTAAAAAGTTTTCCGGAAGACCGTTCACTTGGTCGGATAATTTTTCGAAAGCCTCCTGGTACACAGCCACGGTTGTAGTTTGTTTGAGGCGGGTGAGAGATTCAGAAGGATTTTCATAATCAGTCGGTCCAAATCGGCTTAAAAGAGCCTTTGAAAACTCGTCCCACGACAAGGGTCCTCGGAATTTTGTTAACCACCGGTGCCACTGTAAGGCGATCCCCTCAAGATGAAAGGAAGCGAGTTGAACATGTTGCGTCGCTGGAATATTTTGAAATTCAAAATACTGCTCCGCCTTGTATATCCACCCCATTGGATCATCGCCGGCAAACTTTGGAAATTGCAACTTGAGGTTTGTGTTTGGAAGAAGAGTTGGAGGTGGGCGAGTTGTCGCTATGGTTGTATTTGGCTTG